CCAACTAGATGTAAAAAATGCATTTTTTAATGGGGACCTATAAGAAGTTAACATGGAAATCCTTCCCAGATTCAAAAACCAAGACAATTCTAGCAAGGTATGTAGGCTTCAAAAGTCTTTATATGGTCTCAAACAATCCCCACGTGCATGGTTTGATAGAGTAACAAAAGTGATAAAGAAGTATGGTTTTTCACAATGCCAGACCAATCGCACCATGTTTATCAAACATTCACCTGAAAGAAAAATAGCCATTCTTATTGTCTATGTGGATGACATTATTCTTACTGGAGACTGTGGAAGAAATTAGTAACCTAAAGAACCTTCTAGCCGAAAAATTTGAAATCAAAGATTTGGGACACCACAAATATTTTCTTGGCATGGAGGTAGCTTGCTTAAGGAATGGCATCTCTATTTCACAGCATAAGTATGTCCTAGACTTACTAAAGGAAACTAGAATGCTTGGATGCAAAACCTACTGACACCCTATGGACACAATGAATAAGGTAGGAATGGAAGAAGGAAGTCCACCAACAGATAAGGGCAGATATTAAAGACTTGTTGGGAAACTCATCTACCTCTCTCATACAAGACTAGATATCGGTTTTTTCAGTTAGCATGGTAAGCAGATTCATGAACAATCAAATTGAGAAACACTTGAGGGCTGTGTATCGAATCTTACAGTATCTAAAGAAAAGTGTTGGCAAAGGGTTATTTTTTAAAAAGACATCATGTCGAAATGTTGAAATTTACACTGATACTGATTGGGCTGGATCCGCTATTGACAGAAGATCAACTACTGGTTATTGTACCTATGTGTGGGAAAATTTGGTTACTTGGCGAATTGAGAAGCAATCTGTGGTGGCTAGAAGTAGCGCAGAAGCTGAGTTTAGAGCTATATCTCATGGCATTTGTGAGGGAATTTGGCTGAAAAGATTGCTAGGGAAGTTAAAAGTCTTTGCAGAAGAATCCATAAAGATATTTTGCGACAACAAAGCTACCATAAGTATAGCAAAGAATCCTGTTCATCATGATATGACTAAACATGTGGAGATTGATCGTCACTTCATCAAAGAAAAGATAGAGGAAGGAATTGTTAGATTAGTTTATACTCTCACATGCCTCCAAATTGTAGACATACTCACTAAGGCTCTCTCTCGAAACAACTTCGAGAATCTAAAGTCTAAGTTGGACATGATTGACATCTACTACCCAGCTTGAGGGGGAGTGTGAAAATCTAATCTTCATTATTGCTTGATTAGTTGACTTTATATATTTTACTTAAGTTTCTTATTTTTAGAATAAGAAGTGATTTGGGTAATTACACTAAATCCATTTGATATTTTCCTATTATGTGTAGAGACTAAATTACTCCTTTGATTAGCTGTTTTAATGCATGAAAATCTTGGGTTTTAAGGTTGAGAATATTCAGTCATTAACCTATATATTTTCATGCAATTCTTGCATTGTAATAAGAAAAATATAGAAGAATAAAACTGTTTCAGTCTTGGCTTTCTTTATGGTATATTATGGGTGAACTATAGCTGGGAGCTTTGGTGTCCATCCTGAGTAATTTAAGCATCATAAAACTGCATCCTCACTACTGCAAGTGTGAACAACAAGACCATGGTGATTATGTGTGACTGATTAATATTGATGCAGTTTCATTTGGTCCTTCATTCTTCTATTTAATGGGATGCTAATCTATTAGTTATTTTTTTTCCTACACTACATGGTATCTTGGTCACACTGATGCTTGAGATTAGGGTAAATTCACTGCATGCAACACTTCTTAGCATCATAGCAATAGCATTCGGTTCTGTAGCAGGCAGTTGTTGCCTATGCCACCCTTCTTATGTACATAAATAAATACCTGCTTACATTGATAACAAAAACTGATTTTAGAGTTTTAGTAACCCAAGTTTACTTTTATAACAGTCTGGTGAACTTGCTGAAAGTGTATCCAAAATCATTGATTCTCAATTTGCAGACCGGGTCGATATGTCAGAAGTGCAGGTACAGCATACTTCATAACTAATCCATTTTGTAAAAATCCTTCTGTTGACTTCTACAATGTCTTGCAATTTTGCAGGATGAATTTTCAGCAGTTATAACCAAATCTTTAGTAACCCTAGTGCATGGCCTGGAAACTAAATTTGATGCTGAAATGGCTGCAATGACCCGTGTTCCATGGGGTACTCTTGAAAGTGTTGGTGATCAATCAGGGTAAGATGCATTACTTTTGAGATTTTAGTTTCATGATGGCCAGAGTCAACTTTTAAAAGCAATATCATTGTCCTTGTTGCAGATATGTCAATGGCATAAATATGATCCTTACCAGTAGCATTCCTATACTTGGGAGCCTTCTTTCACCTATTTACTTCCAGTTTTTCTTGGACAAGGTAAATACGAGAAGGCATGGGTCTTATACTATGTTTCTTGACATAGTTTAGTCTTCTTATTTGCTTTGTTCTTCTCTCTTTGTTATTTCCCGTGAGCATGTTGAGAAACCAATTTAAATATCTGCAAATATGCATGCATGAGTACATATACATATAGACACATGCCTGCATTTATGCATGATTGGTATCTTTTGTAGGGAAGAACACCTTAAGTATGTGTATATGCATTCATTTTTCTCTATCATCTGTTTCAAGAAAATGTGAGCTTGGACTAGTGAACCTTAGATTGTGCAACACTACAAGGTTCATTTACCTTAAAATTTCCAAGTGCTAGTAGTATACTCAAAGTACAACCTGTTGCAGATAGATATTTTGTTCAATTTGCTTAATTCTTATTCTTGCAGCTTGCATCATCGCTTGGCCCTCGGTTCTACATGAACATTTTCAAATGCAAGCAGATATCAGAAACTGGTGCCCAACAGGTACTGATCATTTATTGTTTCTCTCACTTTCCTTTTTTCTACTGTTTTGTTCTTGTGGTTATGTATAATGTATATTGCCATTGTCTCTAATGCTCTACATCCATTAACTTTTGGTGAACATTAGCATACAAAACATGGTCAATTGAGATGTTGATACTTAGTTGTCTATGATTTGGGTCTGTTAACTTATTTGCAATTAATCCTAAACTCTGAAGACCATGTATCAACAATTGAATGTCATTGAATACATTGTGATAACAAACATGGAATTTGGAATAATGGGGATACTAGAGCATTGAAGTATATTAATATATAAATTAATGGTACAATTGTATTACAGATGCTGTTAGATACTCAAGCTGTAAAGACAATTCTTTTGGAAATTCCTTCACTTGGTCGACAGGTGAGTTAGTGCATTCAAATGAACACTCGTGGTTTCCAGTTTTTTATACTGATGGTTTTATCAATTTTTCTGTTAACATCATTGCATGTGAATGCTCTATTTATCGGGGTTTAAAGCATGCTTTTTTCCCTTATTTAGTGTTGGAGTGACGTTTGATGCCATTGTTGGCTCTTAATGTTACTGACCTAAGTCTGGTTTTGCATCTCTGCTATCGATGATACATCACTTTTTAATTCAGCACTGTGCAGTGTTTAATGAAATCGCGCTTCTTACAGCTCTTATTTAATCCAATTGGTATTTTATATTTTCTTTATTTAAAATTTCAATAATTAATCGACTTTCTCTGTGGAACAAGTTTGATGTTGAAAGATGCATGACATCATATATGTTTATCGTTTAAAGGACACTACCCTATAATGTTCCCATTAAAGTGGGTACTTTGGGACACGAATTGGTAACATCTGTAAAGATATGATTTATGCTATGCTAGAAAACTTATCTACACTTTGGTGTTAAAAATTGAATGGTTACCCTTCATTTCAATACTCCATTTTGGTCTGCAATTTCAATGAAGTTACCTCCGTGGTGTAAATTACAATATTGTATGGATTTGTTTCTGTATTCAATGATGGCTTCACTCAGTTTCTTTGTCATATTTATTATCTATCTTTCTCCTCTTTTGCAAAGACTGATTAATTTAACTTCTATTGGCAGACATCTGGTGCTGCTGGCTATTCAAAATTTGTAAGTCGAGAGATGAGCAAAGCTGAAGCACTTTTGAAGGTTTGTGAAATTTTTGGGTAGCTTTTTCTTTCTAGCAGGTTACGGCTATCTATCATAATGCAAGTTTGCTCTTCATCACTAAGCAGGTTATACTATCTCCTGTCGATTCTGTCGCGGATACATACCGTGCATTGCTACCTGAGGGAACACCAATGGAATTCCAGCGTATTCTAGAGCTTAAGGTGAAGTTAATCATTCATAACTTTATCACTTCAAACGACCAAACTAGTATGTGGAGCATGATTTCAGTTATAGCTGAAATGTCAGGTTGAAGTTCAGGATATCATTTAATGATTTCATATCTTAACATTCTAATTTTGTTGAACTTGTCTATGTTCAGCATTTCATGGCTCAAAATTTTGGTTTCTGAGTGAAAACTTAAAAATTCCATCTCCAGGGCCTCAAGAAATCTGACCAACAAAGTATATTAGATGACTTCAACAAAGGTGCACCAGCAATCACACAACCTTCGAGTGTGGCACCAGTTGGCCAAGCAGTACCACCTGCCCCTCCTGCCACTGCAGTTCAAGCGATTTCAAATCCCGCTTCAGTTGGATTTATAGCTTCTCGAGAAGATGTGCTAACAAGAGCAGCTGCTCTCGGACGTGGTGCTGCGACAACGGGATTCAAGAGGTTCCTTGCTTTAACAGAAGCTGCTAAGGACCGTAAGGATGGACCTTTCAGAAAGCTTTTCAATGCATGAGAATTGTAGATAATTGCAAATATATCTGTTATTTTTTTAGCCGTTTTTCATTCTCAAATTTTAGAAGCAATTTTTCATCCAAAAATTAAAATTATAAAAATTGTGACGGGACGATTACAAAAGGATCGCTCGAAAGGGAAAGGGACGACTCATAATCAAAGTAAAAAAAAAAAAAAGGGTTCTGATCGACCGACAGAGATTGGTAAGAGGGAATAAGATTCCCACGTAAGATGATGCTAAAATGCTGCACATTATGGGACATGGAAAAGTAATGATTCTAGTGATGAGTGACTTTACCAAGAAAATGGAAGGAGAATTTTGTCGCTGGGAAACATGACGTACAAATTTTTTAAACAATGAAGTGCCGCCGCCCAATCTTTCGCTCTTCTTCTTCTGCAATGGTATACCAATCTCGAGAACACCGAAGAGAAAACAGAGGGGAGGGGAAGCAACGCAGTCAAAATAAGAAATTTATACTCACAACATTATCAACGAATTGCGTTGGATAGCTTTCTTTCGTTTCTAAGGTCCACATTTGCTTTTGTCCGCTCCATGGTCCTTAGTTTCAATAAATTATTTCACAGTTGTTTCGATTCTAAGGACTTTAAGATATTTAAAATATTTCGACTTTGAAAAATGGCCATAAACCTAAATCAACAGTAGCAGATTTCCAAGCATCCTATAAGAATCGAGAACAAAGGCAATATTCTGAGGAATGCCCCACCATTATTATCAGCTTGTCTTCCACTCTCCCTTGCCCAGCCAAAAAAAAAAACGCAACCGTTCTCTTTTTTTTTTTATGAACAAAATGAAAACTACTACTGCTTGTATATTTAAGGTCCGTCAACACAAACGATACCTCTATTAACGTATGGGAGTAAGAGAAATCCAAGTGGCAGGCCACAACCACAGCCTTATAATCCACGAACTTGATGATGTCTATGACTCAGCCACGGGTCGTCCGCTCACCGGTTCATGGCTCTGGGACTCAGCCCTTGTTTTGTCCCACTGGATATCCACTCACCTTAATTTTCAAGGCAAGGCTGTCCTCGAGCTCGGAGCTGGAGCTGGCCTCCCTGGGTTGACAGCGGCTCTGCTTGGTGCCAGCAGAGTATTGCTTACCGACGTCCAACAGCTCCTTCCTGGACTCTTGAAGAACGTTGAAGCTAACGGTTTCAAAGAAAGGGTTGAAGTGAAAGAACTCGTTTGGGGATCGGACGAGTCAATGAGTGAAATCAGAATGTCAAGCATGTTTGATGTGGTTTTGATGAGTGATCTGTTTTTTGACCCAGAAGAAATGACGAGACTGGGCAGGACGCTCAAAAGGATCTGTGGAGAAGGCACTGAAGTTTGGGCGGCTAGCGAGTTGAGGCCTTGGACCAGTGAATGCTTGAACCAATTGATGGCTCAAGGCTTCCAAGTTGTCGAGTTAGTGACTCAGCTCTCTGTTCAAGAGGGTGTGGAAGATTCAAATGCGTTTGCAATCTTTCAGATCATACCACCGCTTGCAGACAGATATGAGTTCTCAACAACCACCTGTGACTATGTTTTAGAAGAAAACTTAAATCTTCAATGACAGATTGAAAGCCCAGGCTCATTTTGAGTCATTTCAGCTTTCTTATATAGGGGAACCAAAAAATTAGATGAAAAAAAAACATACAATAACATGAAATTGTCATCGGTCAAGCAAATCGCATGAAAAACATTATGACATATATATATCCGGGAAAACAAATTCTATGTCAAACAAACCTGATTTCTCACATCAAAGCCATAATCAACCTTTTATATACCAGTAATGTCTACAAGCACTAGGAAACACTTCTAACATATCGCCGTCGTCTATTAATAATAGTGAAGAGTATTATTACATGTCAGGAAGAGCTGAAAGGGTCAGGCCATTTTTCCCCAGAATGCTGTACAAAAGATTCACCTGTAACTGCTTCTGTATCTATAATGGGTTTATCCCATAAGTCAATGCCTGCCGCCTTTTATCATTAATCCCTTTCGGCAAAACCTTACCATGTAATGCTCTCTCTTGAATCAATAACCTTTCTTCAAAACAATGCAAAACTTCAAGCAGGTATTTTGGGTTATCCTGTTCTTTCTCAGCCCTGGATGCACTGCCAGTGTTTGCACATAGCCCCCGTAGCCATATTACCCTTACTCCAATTATATTTATTCCCACCATCAGGAATCATTTTACGGGTTATGGACAGAATTAAACTTACCTCAAACCAGCAAACATTTTGCACTTCAGAGAAGGATATATTTGGACAAACAAGGACAGCACAAACCAAGTTGCTGATTGCAAAGACTATAACCCATCAAAGCCAAATGCATCCTTATTCTTTAACCATTATAGTGAAGTTTCTGGTTTTGGGAGCCCTGGCCCTGTTGAGGCTGCTGCTGTTGAGGAGCCTGCAAGTTGAGTGGCAGCGTGTTGTAGTGGGCAAAGGGCTGGGAGTAGAGAGAATTCATCAAGCCCTGGGATAGATAGCCAAACATTTAATCCAGAAAAGAACTTTAACAAGGTCACAAAATGTATAGCGCAAAAAAAGGTCAGAAAACAGGTAAATGTCACCATGTGACAGATTTTTAACCAGATATACAAAGACTAAGACTACCACCCTAGTTGTTCAATTTACAAGCATTAACAGGCAACTTTCTGGTCAGAAAACAGATTTTAAATCTTGCCATCTTGATAATTTTATTGACAATAAATTCTCTATAAATAAGCAATGGTACAAGAAGTAACCTGAGACTGAAGCTGGTTGGGATTAGCCACACCAAAGTGGCTCTGTGTTGCATCATCTTGTGTAGGGTCATTAAAGCCAACCTGAGTAAACAGGCCTTGTGCTCCATGATTCATGTAGTCCTGTAAAAACAGAACTTTGTTAGAATAAAAACAGGGAAAAAACATAAACTGATCACACAAAAGCACTTTTGGGCAAACCTGAGACATGATATCATTTCCAGCGCCAAAACGAGAATATCCAGCTTGAGAATTCTGGTTTAGGAAGTTCCCTGGAAACCCACTCTGTGCTCCTTGTGTAACATAATCAACAGCATACCCACTCTGAGAAGCCTGCACCCAACACATAATCAAGCAAGCCACATTATTGAACCAGAAGTCAAACACCTCAAGAAGTTTTCCTGTTTTATTTACAGAAAATTACAAAGAGACGAGAAACTTAGGGAAAACAGATTATTCTAAATATCTTCAATTCCACCCCCCACCCCCCTTCACAGTGCCTTAAGGCCCTTAGGAAACACCTGGCTACATTGCCATGATACTCAGCGGTCTTATCTTTTCTTTCCATTCTACTTATTTTAGACCATAACATTGAGGCTTGGCAAGTTGGCAATGAGCTACAGATGCAATCTCCAATAAAATTCCAAGCAAATACCATGCAAACCCCTCTAATTAATGTATGTCATACGGGATTGAGAAGATATTATTAATAAAGATACAAGAAGTCAACGGCTTATACTTGAGTTGAAAAATCAGCAACGGTATAAGGAACATGTGAGCCTTGGCTTTTGAAGTCATCACCCAAGAAGTCCTGTGGAATGATCATACAAACCACTTTTTAAGTTGTTATCAAGAAAATAAACTATAATTATTGAAGAAAATTTGGAAGATTCCTGCAAAGTTTTAATACCTGGGACATTCCCCCCTTTGAAAATCCATCACGAAATGTTTGGCTTGGCCCTTGGACAGGCATCTGTTATAGATAATAAACATATTCAGAATTCCATGATGTCAAAAAAGGATTAAAGGTACAAAAACAAAAACAATGATAAAACGAAAAGGTTAGAGTACGAACATTGTTAACAAATCCAGGTTGAGATAATGGACCACCCACAGATGGCTGGCTGTTTGGATTCTCCAGAGGAGGGAAGTTAAAAGTAGATCCAATAGTTCCAACATTTTGCTGCGTGCCTTGCTGGTGCGGAAGATGACTGCCAATAGGTGCACCAGCATTACCACGTCCAGCCCCAAAGCCTCGACCTCCTGGTTGAGGGACCTGAGGAACAGCTCCCACAGGTCCATGTACAGCTCCACGAGTTGGAATAGCATAAGGCTGAGGAGGACCAGCAAATGGTGGAAGAGGAACCCGAGCCATTGGGAACCCAGTAGGGTGCGCTCCAGGCTTGTGAGTACCATTGGGTGGACCAGGAGGCATATAAGCACCTGCAATTGGCAACATGAGAAGGCTCATGTTATATTGTAAGCAGAGAAGAATCCTCATCAATTTTAATAAATACAAGTACCAGAGGCATATTTTATTGTTATCATGCATGTCAGTACAAGACATATCACTTGCATGTCTCCAAAGTGATGATATAAACGATATATAACTTGTAAACTCATGATGCTCAAGAGCTTACCCCTAGCACGACTGCTTCTTCTATCAGCATTTGGACTAGATGAGGCAGGAGAGCCAAAATTATCGTTAGGCACAATCCCAGGTCCACCACCGAAGAAAAGTCTCCGGTCATTGTACATCTATGTGAAATACAAACTAACATTATTATTATCCTTGACAGCCACTAATAACTAAAAAATATTTGTGAGAGGCAACGAGCAAAAACAACAGCTAAAAATTTGAACAGATAACAAGCACTATCCTTTTCATTCCATATGCAAACCTTTTTGGGCTTTTGGAATTGAACCATACTCTGCTTCAAGTTATTGAGGGGTCCTTCAACCAGGCACTCATGCTCCTGCAAAATTTAGCAGAAAGGGATCATTGACCAGCATAGCAAGATTCTCTGAGGCACAATTAACACTAGGTGAGCTTTAACAGTTTCATAAACTACCACCAGCATAGTGACAAAGATACGAAGGAAGATACCTTGTAATGTGTCAATAAACCATTCCACAGAGGTTGTTTGCTAAGAACTTTAGGGTTTCCAAGAATTACAATACCATATCGAGCACGTGTTAGGGCGACATTAAGCCTGCGAGGATCATTTAGAAATCCAATACCCTAAAAAATAGGATAAAAGTTAAGCACCAATATGTTGGTTTTTCTAATATTTAAAGCATAAAGAGGGGCATAAAGGTTAAAATGTTATTATTAGACTTAGAACAAACACCATAACCAAAAGCTGATCAGTCATACAAATGAGAAACGTTAAGCACAACGAACCCTTTTAAAGAAATTATAGATAGTCAAGAAATTGAAAATTAGTTTGACATAAGACTAAAGACTGATAAATTGAGTCAGATTGAAAATTCATTCATGAAGATGATGCAAATGTTATTTCACATCTTTTATAGATATGTTAACCAACCTGATGTTCATTACTTCTCACACAAGACAAGATGATGTAATCTTTTTCCCGCCCTTGGAATGAATCAACACTCGCAACCTGATATAAACTCCATAAATTATAAATAATTACAGTATGGCCAAATATCATAACAGCATTTATTCTTAAATTTTAAATCCATGCATTACCTCAATTTCCTTGTAAAGCTGCTGTCTCAAGGCACCATTTCTTGACATATAATTCACAATATATGCCCTCTGTCCCTCATAAGGTGTTATAACCCCAATCTGTAATATATTGAAACAGTCATTAAACTAAAAGTTAAAACACTGGCTGATATCAATCTGAAAAGAAAAAAAGGAAAGTCCAGAAAATCACCTGACTAGGAACAACACCACTCCTCAAGAATGTGGTAACAATCTTTTCAACATTTGCAGCCTCAGTTCGATTGAGATATGATGTTCCACTAGCACTAATCTCCTCTTGACCCATCTAAAACATAACCATGGAGTAAATAAAGAACTGGACTGTCAGCAAATTAAATCATATTTGATGTCCTTTCCCTTCTCATCCCTCCCCCATCAGAACACAGTGCAATGGATAAAGAAGAATATGCATGGGGATGAAATATAATTGCATTTTGAACAGTACAATCCTAACCAAAGTTCTAATACCTGTACATAAAAAAACATCGGACGATTAGGCACAGGCCAAGGAAAATCTATGCCAGATGATTGCCTTTCATTGATTGTCACTCCATTTTGCAATGTGCCTTCATAGAAGCTGTTAGAAGGAAACTCTGACAAACATGGGTGCATACGGTATTGAACCTAAAATAGAACAGAAAAAATTTACTATCAAACAAAGACATGCTTTCTTTCAGCAATCATATTCACATGAAGGGCAAAACCGACAAACATATAGGGATGTCACCTGCAATCTAATTGGCTTAACACCAAGCAAAACAAGACGTTCAAATAGAGACTGCGCTAGCCCAGCACGAGCTGCTTTCTTGCACATAATAACTGGACCAAGTTGGCAATGATCACCAACAAGAACAACCTAAAATAAAAATATTCACGTTAGAAGACAATATAAGAAACATTCAAGGGCAACAAGAGAATATATATCTCAATAACTTTGATGCCTCATTACCTGCTTTGCTCCTAGAACTAAAGGAATGAGACACTCAGGCTCTGTCGCTTGAGTAGACTCATCAATAAGTACCTGAATAAAGGGAAAAGGAGAGTGTAAGTGCTATTATTAGTTTAGTGATCATTGAAAATTACATATCTGTATTCAACCTGGCGGAACCTAAAATTAGCC